ACTCATGCCCCTTGAAAATTTTTCTAACTCCGCCACTAGTCGTGTTCATCATTTGAATAAGATTATTTATGACTATCTAAGTTAAAAAATATACAACACACGACACAAAACTACTACTACTGCAGTCATAAATTAAAAGATGACTACCTACTTATAGTTAAAAAGGACAAGTCTTATCATATAAATTTCCTTACTTTTACTACTCTAATATGATTTTGATATAATCTGACAATTAATGATGGTGTCTTATTGGTAAGATATATTTTTTCACATTCTGCCGCTGAATTCTCGGTATTTAAGACCTTATCACTAACAATTTAGAAAAAGAAAGGAAGACAATTATGTTGTAAATTCTTCGATTGAAGGAGCAGTCTAATTCTTCTTCTTCTTCTTCTTCTTTCCCTATAAAATGAGCATTGTAAATCCTGTGTGAGTAGTTTAGATCTTCTTTTCATTTTGGTTCAATTTTTCAAAACAAAATGAACCCAAATAGAAATTTTTGAAGTTCTTGTGAATGAGGGATCGCCCCAAATCCTAACCTAATTTTAGTCCGGAAGATCATAAATAGATTTTTTAACGATCGAGTTTTATACTGTTATTGAGTCTTCGGATGACGTCCCTAATGTTTAGCCTTTAGTAGTTTGGTGTCCGCCTCCTTTAAGCTATGTGAACCGTACGTAGTTGTAATGTGGTTGTGTCAAATGTTGTTGGGTGGTTCCCAATCCTGAGTATTTTTTATTTTTATTTTTTCAATTGTGTAGTCTTTTGTCTTCTTTGTTCTTTTGCTCTGGTGGTAAGCTTTGTCTTGGTTTTTTTTTATCTCCCCTCAATAATGTATTCCTTGCTTATATAAACATAGAAATAAATAACCGTTTAGACTATTCAATTGTTTTTATTGAAGTGAAAATTCGGAGCTATCCAGATGGGCGTTCATAAAAGTTATATATCTTTAGTAAGGAATCTAATTCATTCGAAAAAAAAAAAAGTATCTATTTTTTTTTTTTTTTAAATAACTTAACAGAGAAAGTTACTGATGCAAATAACAACAGTTTATAATACTACTTTCGTGTCTAAAAAGAGTGGTATGATTCAAACAATTACTCAAGCTCTTTTCCTAGCAGCCTCAGGCACACATCACATGTCAAACAAAGAGGCTCTCTCAAAATCAGGAGTCAGGACCAGATATTGATTAGACTTTCCAGGAGGTCTCAATTCTTTGAAAGGAACAGACAAGACAAAACTTGAAAAGCTGTGGCTTGTCTTTCTTTTTCTTTCGCTTTTTTTCCTTTCTATCTTATTTGGCCAGGAATAAACCAAGGAAAAATATTTCAACATCTTACGCATATAATGTCAAACTCTTGTGAATTATGAAGGTTTTTGAGATCATGATTGTCATTTGTGAAAATGAGATCATCATGGTCACTTTAACAAATATACAAAAAGAGGCAAAAGGAAAAAAAAAAAAAAAAAAGAAATTGAAATAAATAGAGCTGTCCACAAAATCCAGAACATTGGGTAACAGTTGCTCAAGAAATATTTATCTATGGATATTCATATATGAGGAGCATCATCACATGGGAATGCCAATCATGAAAAGATGTGAATGAGACAATGGCAGAGGATTTGGTGGAGCCACATAAATGCACAACTCATTGGTCTATCTCTCAACCCCTATTTAACATCTTAAAAAGAAAAGGGCAAACTCAACCAACCTTCCAACAGATGAAGCATTTGAATACCCTCTTTTTTATTTTTTTTATTTTAATATATATACATACAAGCAGAGAAACAAATAATCTCATCGAGCATATCAACTATAATGGCCTTCAGGATGGGAAGATATAATGAACTCATGAGTGATAGCCACTAAAGATCTTTGCTTGTGTGTATACTTAAAAAACTGATTGCCACTATGCGAGTGCCACATCGACGTGGAGTGCAGAATATAAGGAACTTAGGGTTCATTTGGAATTAGTTTTAGAAGACGTTTGCTCATGGATTAGAATCATGTGATTAGAACTATTTTCGATTTACGTGTATTTTTTGTGAGAGAAAACACTGTAGCGAACTTTAAACCATTATTCAAATCATGGTTTGAATCCTCCAACCAAACATCCCCTTAGATTGTTTTTGAAAACGTTTATACACGTCTTTTGAGACACAAAAATGAAAACGGTTTTCAAACTGTATTTGTTTAATAAATGTTTTGAAAACAAAAAAAACAGTGAGAATGATTTTTGTGAATGAATTAGAAAACGGTTGAAAGTTGTTTTCTCTTTTTTGTTTTTATTTTTTAGTATTTATCAATAATATTATAATATATTAATTAATAATTATAACGAAATAACCAAACACAATTTCACTTTTTTATTATACTTAAATTAATTTCTTAAAAAATTAACAAAACACAATTTCAGAATTGGTCCCAGAATAATTTTCAAAATAATCTCATTTTTACTTTTATATTGTTACCATACGGCCCTTAGTTTTCTTTGAGTAAGCAATTGCCTCTATATACATTTGTGTCCCCGAAATGTACATCTTTCTTTATTTTGTGCTTAGAGAGACCATTATCAAAATGTAGAATATTCTGAACAGAGAATGACACTCTCGAACTTTCTTGATTATTTTATTGTCCTACACTACAACACATCTGTGTCACTGCCCTTTACTAAGACAAAACGGAATATATAGAAGAGACAGATCTTTTTAAAGCCAGAAGGTAAATAAACTAGAACTGTTATTAGAAGAACCACATTATTATTTAGGGAGAAAGAGGAAAATAGGCTAGGGCTTGAGATGAATTAAAATTAATAGGTCAATCATTTACATAAGTTAATAAATAGGTCAAATTACTATTTTTGTTCATAACTTGTCTAGTTATAAACCATAACTTGACAAGTTATTGCCCATAATTCACAGTTTTTGTCCATAACTTGTCTGACTATAAACCATAACTTGATAAGTTTGTCCATAACTTATCTGATTATAAACTATAACTTGACAAATTATGACCTATTAATTTTTATAACTAAAAATTGACCTATATACTTTCTTAAACTTTTCATATTAATCTATTTTCTACCATTACCGTATTATTTATAGGCCTGCAACTAGCTTTCCAAGAGGTAAAAAAGGAAGCAGGCCTACGTTGGTTTTCCAAGCCCAAATCAATCATCATGGCCCTATCCAAAAAGTTTAAGTGGACTTGGGCCCCAAAGGAAATATTTTTCCTATAGTATATTGCCAATTGCTTACCAAACAATACTCGATGAAAATTAGCATTAATAAATACTTCTTTTGTTGAAGCAATTTGAGATCTCACCAGGGCATGCTTAGGTCCCCTGCAATTCTGTTAGGACCATGTACTCCCCCATAAAAAAATGAGGTTCCAACTTAACAGATTAAACTAATGAGTTAAGTAACTCACTCCTTAATTCGCACTCTTAACAATCCTACTTCGAACGAAGTACCACCACCCCTGAACGATAGCCCATTCCATCCATTAGATCCTCAATCGCACCTCCATTGCATTGCATGGAGATCCCACCACCTTGTCTTCTCCATCGCATATCTCCGCGTTTATAGTCTGCACAGCAACCTCAAGGTCTCCACTGCATCTATGGCCCTGCGTTACCGTGAAGAGAAGGTCCATTTCGAGCATTCACATAATTTTTTTCCATCACAACCAGGGGCCCACTCTTTCATTCGCCACACCAGGGGTTCATCTCGTGCGTACACTTTAGATTAAAAAGTTCCCATTTATTGCCAATGTGGGACTTTGTTCGCACCCTTAACAAGTTCAACACAATAAAAAAATTCCTCAAATATGTACAGAAAAAAAAATGGTGAAAGTTTTGATGTGTTGCCATCAGCTGTACAATGAATTCAACAGATAGCAGATGGGTAAGATAGATTCCTCTGCATCTGCAATAGGAATAGTAGAGAAGTAGAAATCAGAAATGAAGAGTTGAATTTTCACAAACTGGGGTGGAAAAACATGACTTTAGATTAAAAAAAAAAAGAATTTAGAAGAGATTCTAAGGTCAGTTATTAGAAGGAGAAAAAATAGTGGAGGAGATTTGGATTTGCTGATACTATCTATGCTCTATCATTATAGAAGATGAGCATAACAGACTTCATTTGAGCAACACACGTTGTGCTTTAATCAGCTGAGAAAAAGGTTTGAAAAAAACAAAACCTTCCGAGAATTCACTTCTGAGGTCGTCCCATATCGGCCACATCATAAGTTTCAGGTTATCCATTGGTCAGGCTTCAGAGCAACAGAAATACAAGTCAATTGTTGCTTGAGATGCAAGTTATCCAGCCATAGCAAACACAGCTCCATTACAAGCTGTCTTTCGAATATTGCCCCCGGAGAATGCCTGAAAACCGCAATGTCATTTTGGACGTTTGGAAGCAAGGTGTAGAGGCTCCTACTTTGGCCTTTGGAAAATGCAGGGGCATCATCAACACTGCCCTCATCTAAAGTTTCTGTACTGCCAAGAGGAATTGACATTAACAACTTCAATGAGGACCTATTACAACAAGAGTCCATATGCAACGAGAAAGCATAACAAAACTTTCTTAAAACCCAGAGTATGTAGTCCATTTATCTGGCATAATTGGATATAAGACACAAATGATAAATATTAAGCAGAATTGTCAAAAAAAAAAAAAAAAAAAAAAAAACACATTTGCAGTCCATCTTCTGAAGAATATATCAATACCTATAATGGTTCACTTGCGACCAGTAATTTCTTATTAGTAAAGCATAAACCTGGTCCAAAAATATGCTAAATTCTTAGCACGCTTATGCTGCATTATTTGGTCAACTTAAAGGATATTAAGCACAAAAAATCAATCTGCCTATCATGACGAGATCAAAAACAACAAAAAGAAGATAAAATTCAGTAAACAACGGAAAGGAAAATGCAATTTCTTGGAAAACTTTGGATTACATTAACTGCAGAAATGACTACCATTTTTTATAAGCCTTATTCAAGTAATGGAAAAACTTTCTGTCTCTTTTCTTACATTGTAACAATTTGCAGGAGAAAAAAAAAAAAACTCAATAGAAATCTACAGCTAGATGGAAAATAAAAATGCTCCTGTCATCTAAAATGTACGCTGGAATCTGCAGAAACCAAGTTTCTGATCTCTAGCAAATGTTCATCGTTTGATATATGGAGCGAAAGACGAAGATTAGTCATCAATTCTTCTTGTTCCCAACTTAAAGGTCCGGATGCATGCAGTGCCTCTATAGTACAATGATAAGCGTGCAACTCTAACCTATGGATCTCAGCAGCCAATTCCTCCTTTGTGGGACGTACACAATTTCCTTCCTCAAATCTCACCTGACAAAATGATTCAGCATCCCCACAATCCAAATCTTCAACAGGACTGGCAAAAACACGATGAGGTAGTGCACGTGAATTGTTGCTGTTGATGCTACAACTGCCGACTGAACAGGCAGTGCTTTTGGCATCATTTGATTGTATATTTACTGCAAATGAACAACCATCAAGTCCACTTGGCTTCTTCCTACTGGATTTCGCTTCAGGAAATCTACTCGTTCTGATCTTAAATAAAGCAAGTGCTTTTTCACCTAGCATGTCTCTTGGTAGAGCAGAATCAACCTGTTCAGCCAATAACAATGGATCTGAAGTGAACACTCTGTGGCATCTGCCCTCGTTTCCAATAACTCTAAATTTCTGGGGAGTTCCAGCACGTGCATTAACTTGAGAGGAGCAATAAGGTGATGATCTTTTTAGAGTTCTCGACGAGGCAAAGTGAGACTCCTGAAAACTTAATTTGTGTGTAGCAGGAAAAGACTGACCATTTGCACGTGGATTTATCCTTCTGCTTGTCTTCTGAATTTGGAAACTTGAGTTTTGATTGTCCTCCAAATTTAATATTTCATCATGTTTGACATTATCATAATATCCAGACCCCTGTGTCAAAAAAAAAAAAAAAGGACAAAAGTTGGAAAAGAGAGAAGGACAATGAGTGACAAAATAAACAAATACCTCCTATTGTGTTTCTTGTTTTCAAACTCGTCAACAATGTTAAAGGAGTGAAATTACAAGATGATTAACACACCTATAACAGGCAGGAAATTATCGTTTTTTTAAACGAATATTCAGACACTTCACAACACTTATTTCAATATTAAATTCAAGTGACTACTTACAAACATCAAGATACACAAACCAGAAAACATGAAAAGGTCAACTAAAACACAATCTATATGAGAAAAATAGTGCCGCGACGTAACTGGGACTGATAAAATACTTAAGCATGTGATAGAATTGATGAGAATGAAGTTACCTTTCCAATCACAGTCCATTGATCATCCTGCCAAAACTGTCTGACTCGGACGTCGAATTTACTGACTTTATATTCGCGAGAGGATCCAAGTAACCTGACGAAAACATGCTTCTTCCCCATAACCTTTGAGATGGTTGCCAATTTCCAAGAAGAATTGTAAAACACCTCTACGAGATCACCAGCAACCCATGACGTCGAAACTTCTAGAGGAGGAGGACAAGGCCTAATCTCCTTTCTAGATACCCTCTCCACAACTGTGGAACCCCCTAATTCCTCGTATCTAACCGTGTAGTTGTGGCCATTGCCACTGATTATCTCAGCACATTGCCAGGACCCCGAAGGGGCCTCCTTCTTGCACAAAACTTCAACTTTACTTCCTTTTTTGAATCTCATAGGGGCTGATATGTCACGTAAAATTCTGAAGAACAAATCTGCGGAGCAATAGCAAAATTAATGTAAGAGACTATTGACAGAGCAGAGGAATTCGACTTGCAAAGTTCCTAGTTAATGTTGGACAATATAAAAACTATTTATTATATCACATAATAAAAGTAGACAAATTACAAACAGCTATAGAGTGCTTGATAAACATAGATATGCAAGAAAACATTACTACATTTTCAGATCTCATAGGTATAGAAGATATACATGCAATGCGATTGGAAAAGAAAAGATTACAGAAGAAATTTAGTTTTACAGGATTATTGTTTTTAAGAAAGTAGTAGTTATGATAATGGCCTGCATAAATTTGATTAGATAATAATGAATACATTGCAACCACAAACATAATTATGCATCTTGTATCATGCTCCTACTTGGGTTACCGATAGAATTAATGATTTTGAAAAGGAAAAGAACAAAACAAAAGACAATATTTTGAACTTTCTATTCTGTGTCAATTTTAATTGTTAGGAATAAATATTGATATAGTTACCCAAACCAGCAAAGAGTAGATATAGCCAGTATATTCTGGTTTTAGAAAGAAAAGAATCAGTATTCCAACCTTTTTTTTTTTTTCTTTTTATACTCATATACGTATTTTCTCAACAGCCAAACAGGCCAGGGAAAAAAAATATTTAACTCTTTCAACATAACAATCCTTTAAAACAACTATCTTAGGAAAAGAAACAATCTTACAATCGCTGATCAGTATTTGAGGTACACTGGAAAACAGTTTATGCTCTGTTGGGTTGCTGAGAAAGTGAAAGAATTACATTAGTTCTTCGTCCTAATTTCCAACAATTAAAGCGGAAAGAAAAGTAGTCAACCGAGCTCAAGACAATTCTTTGCCTATTTTCAGACGCCTTCTTTATTAATACCACATCTAACAAACAAATTACAAATTGAAAATCCATTGTTTTTCTTTCTTTCTTTCTCTATCTACCAGTTTCTCGGAAACCAAACATGGGTGAATCGACAAAAACGAACCAGAAAGCAACATCAAAACTTTCTATGCAAATTACTAATCATCCATAATTAAATGAAAAAGAAAAACAGAAACTAAAAACTGAATTTTGCAACACAAAGACGTTATGGCATGAAAATTTCACTAAAAATTCAAAATGCAGATAAACAGAAAAGAAACAAACGGAGATAGGTTTCACTAACCTTTGCGATTCAGAGAGATTGGTCGTTGCAGAGATTCTTCACTTTGTGATTGTTATTGTCATTGTTGGTTGTGGTTCGTGTTTGTGTGTTAGTTTCTTTTTTTCTTTTTTCTTTTTTCTTTTTTTTCCCTTTTTTTAGGTTTGTTTTGTTTGGTAATTAGAGAAAAAAAAGATTATTTGTATTTTCTTTGTTAAATAATAAAAAATGTTTTTGTCAATTTTGGGTATTTAAATGGTCCAAAATTTGAGCGTAATAAACAACGAATATGGTATGGTTTGTGTGCCAAGTTGCCAACTACCCAAGAATAGCTTGTTGAGATGGAAAATTAACATCTTTTGCCAGGTAGGGTGTGTACTACGCATAACCTCCTCTTATTCTTCTTTTATTTTTCTTTTTTTTCCCTTAAAAATGAAAAAAAATGAAACTATTGTATATTATCCATGAAAATTTCAGTAAAATCTTTTTTTTTTTTTTTATAAGTTATATTATATGTATTCCACGTATCTTTGCATATTAAAGTTATAGGTTATTTCTTCCACCTAGCACCCTTATGACATGTTTAGCTACATGGAATCGAAATGGACATGAATCTATAACTAGAAAAATATTTTGCCTTGTAAAATCTCGCTACCAAAGAATTCGGAAATTGCACTAGCCGCCAATATTGTTTTGCCAATATGCACTGATTGAAAGTAGTTGACTGAAGTAGTTTTGATAGCATTTTTTGATAACTTACTAACATTTTGTTTGATTGTTTAAGTGATTTTGCTTGTTTTGATTTGAATTTTCAATTTGACATGATTTTTCTTTCGTTTGAATTACTAAAGATTAGTAATAAGTTAGTTAAAGATTGTGATAAAGTGCACAAAAATGCACTTTTTAGTGTACATAATTGTCAAATAAATTAAGTTTTAATTAAATATTTTCATGAATTAATCAAAAATATTTTGGTATGTTTGGCAGGAGCTTAGTGGCTTCACATGCACTGCTGATTCCTTGGGCTTTTGACTTGATTTTTGCTGGCTTTGTGGCCCAAATGCAATTGTTTCCCTAAAAAAAACATACCAAAATATTTTTTATTAATTCATGAAAATATTTAACTAAAACTTAATTTATTTGACAATTACGTACATTAAAAAGTGCATTTTTGTGCACTTATTATGAAGGATAGGTTTTGATTTCCTCCTTTGTCTCAACAGAAACATTGGGGCTAAAGGTAATCATAGATTTAGCAAAATTAAGATTCTGTTCAATAGCTTTTGCGTAGGAGTCGAAAACATCAACAATTGCTACTCCTTCCTCTCGGCGCGCTCTACTGAAAATAATTGAGTCGTTTACAAAAAATAGATGACTCGCCCTCGGAGCATAATGAGCCACCGCTACTCTAATCCGACCCATAAGTGTTGCTCTGCGAAGCAATGATAAAAGACCTTAAGCACAAATAAGGAACAAGTATGGGGATATAGGGCAACCTTGGCGGATTCCACGCCGAGGCTGAATGGACCCTTGCGACGCCTCGTCAACTATGAAAGACATTCGCGAAGTATAAACACAATCCATAACCAATATAGTGAATCTATACGATCATAGGCCTTACTCATATCAATCTTAAGACCCAAAAATCCTTCCTTACCCCAACCTTTTGCCGGATCGAATGTAACACTTTAAAAGCAACCAAGACGTTATCTGTGATAAGGCGACCAGGCACAAAAGTACTTTATTCTTGAGCTATAATCAAAGGGAAAACCGTTTTCATCTTGTTAGCAAGAGCTTCAGAGACGATCCTATAGGTATAAAGACTAATGGGCCGAAAATCAAAGACTTTTCTCAAGTCCTGAATTTTCAGGATGAGCACAATTTTCGAGTTTGAGCAAGTAGAGTTTAGTGGAAAACCGAGGCATGATTATTAAGGATATTTAGGCAAACTCTTGACAAATCACCACCCACTAAGTCCCAGTTTTTTTTTTTGGAAGAAACCTGCATAGAATCCATCCGGGCCGGGAGCTTTTGAAGAGCTCATGGCAAACAACATACTAGTTGTAAATAAATTATATATGCGGTCAATAATTCATTTATATGTTATTTATTTTAAATAATTATAATATTTACTAGTTACTTTATTTAATTTTAAAAATCTGTTATTTACTATATTCTTTATTCTTTTAAAAAAAAATGTGTTTGTTTAATTTTAGGATTTTTGAGTTTTGAAAATTATTGTTTAATTTTTTTTGAAAACTAATGTTTAAAATAATACTCTACATTTTAATAAAAGTCGTCTTTTTATTTTTAAAAATTTGACCGATTTAGGGATTACTTCTTTTACTGTTTCCAATTACATAGGAGATTCTTTTTATATTTAGGAAAATTTTCCTACAAATATTTTCTTCAATTCAATGTACATTCATTTTATATTTAAGTTATTTTACTTCTTTTTTCTTTTTGAATGTCTAATAACCAACATTTGTTTTTTTTTTTCTCCCTCTTCCTTTATTTCTCTACACCTAATATTTCTCCCTCCATCTTTTTCCTTTGCATCTTGTTTCTCCCTCCTACTTTCTTTCTCTACACCTATATATTCTCCTGAAATTTGATCTGAAACTTTACTCGCTCCTAGAGACTTGTATGCTTCAACAATAAACAATTAACAACATTCAGGCAAATACAAATTTGTAATTTGTTAATTTTGGCCGAGGATAGCTAATACTAAACGCTTATATTTTTGTTTTCTTATTAACTGTGTGCACAGTTATACTAAACGCTTATTAGATCACCAAATTAACAAAAGAAACCTAATTTCCCTTTCTTTCTTTGCCATTTTTCAATGCTTTTTATGAAAGTTGAAATATCGCTTTAGCCAGTCTTTTTTTTATTTTTTATTTTTTATTTTTTTGTTACTTGGAAGCGAAAAACTTCGAACTTGGCACATTACAGTTGAGGCATAAAAGACATTGAAATCTCTATAAACCTGTAATAGCATTATTTTATCACCTTTTTGTAGTTGGTTTGTTTTGCTTCTTTGATTTATTTGGAAAAGCACGTATATTATGTATTCTTTTGCAACTTGAAAAAAAATAATAATAAAAGAAACCCATCTTTTTGCATGAATCTTCCCTTAACTTTTTGCGATTTGCAATGTTGTCCTTAAACCTTTTTTTTTTTTTTTTTATAATGGACTCCTTAAAGTTTGAAATCCGTTACAATTGAGGTTCAATTAATAACGTCTGTCAAATTGTGGACGGTCTTGTCACACGTGAGCAACACATGGATAGTAAAAAAGGGCCCACGGTCATTTTGTACTATTCCAACTCAAATTTAATTATTAATTTCAAAAAGATATGTTAATCAATTTTTAATCTAATAAAAAAACCAAAATAGAATAAAAAATCATCAACATACAGTTAGCAGTGACAATTCATGTTATTGTGTTCGTATCGTATTTTAATCGTTTCTTTTTAAATTTACAGTCAATCTAAATACGACCCGTGACACAAAATTTTTTAAAAACCGCAACACGAATATGACACAACCACTTTACGAGTTGACACGACACGACTTGAAAATGACTCGTAACACGAAATTAACCCGTGAACCGAAATTGACACAAAAATTGTATATTTTTATTTAATTTTTTACATATTAAAAATAACTTAAAATTCATCACACTAAATTACAATAACATCTATTAAAATTAAACAAATAATAGTATAAGATTTTGAGTATAACTATCATGATATCACAAATTCATAATAAAATTTAAAATATGAAATGAAAAATATATATATTTTTTAATTTTTTACGAGTTTCGTATCGTGTTCGGGTTAGACAGGTCTAACTTAAAATTAACTCGTGTGTTTCGTGTTAATTTTATGTTAATTCAATTTTAACCCGAACATCTTTTTTCTCAATCTTAACCCGTAAAATTCGTGTCGTTTTTGAATCGTGTCATCTGATCCATATTCGATGACACATATTGCCGCCCTAAACACAAAACACAGCTTCGCACAGTCCTCTCCCACCATCAACCTTCACCTTCAATCGCAATTTCTCATAATCGGAATCCTCAAAATCCTCGTCTAAATCCAAACACACCAAACCAACAATGATCAATCCCAATCCCTCATTTCACAATTCCAAAACCAAAATCAACACGACGGAACCAAAAAAACAACAACAATCCGGCAAAAAAGAAACCGCAGAAGCTGCTATCAATAATTGATCAATCAATCCTAATCCGATATCTCAAATCTCCAAAACAGAAAGAAAAGAAAACCGGAAAAAAAACTGATGAAGAATTACCGGAGGGTTTGGGTTTGGGAGGAGCGGAGAGGTCTTGAAGGAAGCAATAATGGCTCTTGTTGAGGCTTCAGGGTCGTCGCTTGATGGTGCTCTGCTTCTCCGCCATTTTCGAACATAACTGAAAAGAAAATCCTTGAACAACGCCCAGATCGAAACTCAAACCCAAAGAAAATATGAGATATTTTACGTGTCCCAACCACTGATCGAAAACCCCAACGCCTGCATAGTTCACGATTATACAAATCTCCGACAGGACTCTCGCAGGTCATCCAAACGCGCATTGAACGACCTCGCCATAAGATTTCGCCTTGGAATTCAGATAGCTTTCATCTTCGGACTTGGGTGGGGATCTAGGGTTTCGAGAATCGCTCTTTATCTGCAATTCCAGATATGAGGTTTTGGGAATGGCTGAATAATTACTGTCCATTGAAGGAGATTAGAGATCAATTGCAGAGAGAGAGAGAGAGAGTGGGGACGAAGAGAACCCAGAAGTTCCGTTTCTCGTTTTTTTTTTTCCCTGAAAAATGGTTTGTTAAATGACCATCTAATGCCCCTAAAAACTCACGTGCTTGTCACGTGATTAAATCCGTACAACATTAACGGCAGTTATTAGTTGGACCCTAATTGCAACGAATTTTAAATGTTAGGGAGCCGATTGTAAAAAAAAGAAGTTTAGGGATTACATTGCAAATCGTGAAAACTGAAAAGTTAAGAGGGTACTATGCAGTAAAGCGATGTTTTTTTGTTACTTGGAAGCGAAAAACTTCAGACTTGTTCTTTTGGAATTTAATTTGGGTATAATTTTTGAGTTAAATTTGAGTTATAACTTGAGTTGAACTTATAACTTGAGTTTGTGTTTGGTTGTGTACATTTGAGTTATGGTTTGAGATAAGAATTTTTTTGAGTTTGTGTTTGAGTGAGTCAAAACTTGAATTTGTATTTATATAGTATTTTAATAAAAACTCAATGCTGATGAAAAATTTTAATATGGTATATGGGTCGGGTTTTATTCGTCTTTTCGTTGTCCACGCATAGAAAAAAAATCATCTCAATCAGAATTAAAATGAAAAAATTATAACATTTTTAAGAATAGAAAAAATATTGTTCATTAATTTGAGTTCGAGTTTCTGAACTCGAGTTGAAGGGGAAACTTGAACTCGAGTTTTAGTCCTAAACTCGAATTTACACTCGAGTTTAAACTTAAAAGAACATGAATTCGAATAAAATTGTAACTCGAGTTGCTTTTTTTTTGAGTTTTTCACTCAAAAGAACAAGCCCTTTGAATTTGGGAACATTTTAGTGAGGCATAAAAAGACAATGAAATCTCTATAAACCTATTATAGCATTATTTTATACCTTTTTGTAGTTGGTTTTAGGAGTGTGCAAACTAACCAAACCATTTATTTTGAATGAAATGTAAATCAAACCAATTATAAATTGGTTTAGAGATTTTCAAACTAAATCAAACCAATTAAGAGATCTAATTCAATCTAAATCAAACCAATTGTAATTGGTTTGGTTTAGTTTTTTTAATTGGTCTGAATTAATATTTTACAACCTCTTTTCAAACTCCCTTAATCGTAACTGGTATTAATACGTTGTATGATAGACATTTTTTTTAATATAAACTTCTAAGGTTATGATTATTTAATATTAGAATAAACGTATTTTTTATATTCTACGTTACAAATCAACAAAATATATATAATTTTAAAAAAATATATATAAATTGAATTGATTTAGTTTGGCTTGGTTTTTTAAAGGTCAAAATCACAAATCAGACCAATTTAATTGATTTTTTAAAAATTTAAACCAAACCGATTATTAATTGGTTTGGTTGGTTTTAATGGTTTGAATAGTTTGTTGCACACTCCTAATTGGTTTGTTTTGCTTCTTTGATTTATTTGGAAAAGCACTTATCTTATGCATTCTTTTACAACTTGGAAAAAAGATAATAAATGAAACCCATCTTTCCTATTACGTTACAAGTATAATTACAGGAAAAGATTAGTTCAAATGTGTATATTTGAATAAAATCTTTCAACGAGATAGTGCTTTTTCAATTCTCTTAAAATGGAATATATTGATGTATGTCAAAATTTTGCATATGTTCGGTAAAATTTAGTAAGAGGATAATCATGTACATGATATGGATACAGGGAAATTGTACATAAAAAGGCCAGGTTTCTTTTGAAAAAGAAAAAAAAAAAAAAAGGAAATGATTTGGTTCGGAAATTATTATAAAAATGGTCGTTATCTCAAAAAGACAAAATAGTGATTTTGCCTCTGGGCGGCAGATCCAACAGCGGTCACACAGTTATTCACAATCGCAAAGCCTACCGACGAGCTTTGCAATATCACGACAAGGACCATTGCGACCAACAAGTGACGGAGTTAGAATTTTTTTTTTCAAGAGGGTATGAATTAAACAGAAAAAATTTACTAAAACAAATAGAATTATTGTAATCGAATTTAATTCACTTTTTAAGATTTGGGGTTCACAAAGTTATTAATTTATATATATTGTGGTGGATTTTTGATTATTTGATAGTTTAAATTTGAAATATAAGTACATCAAAATTCAAAACTTTAAAATTGGGGTTTCCACGTTCTTCCTCCATCTTTCATTATAAGCAACTATTTACAAGAACGGGAAAAGAAAAAAAACAGAAATAAAGAAAGAAGTTTATATTAAACGATAATATTTTTGTACAATCACATTTTTGTATTGTTGGTAAATTTGGCGGTAAAATAACAAATGAGTTAACATAAAGATAATATGCACACATATTATTTTACGTAGAATACACTCAAAGGTGACGGGATAAAAATTACGGGACAAGTGTAGAAGGATTTCACTATAAAAAATGTAGAATGATTTCACTATAAAAAATGTATAAGGATTTCACTATAAAAAATAGAGATTACAATATATTCTCTAAATTACACAGAGAGAACAATAAGAATCACTCTCTCAGTAAATATGAAACACCTCACAAAAGAAGAAAAATTGGACAAATTAAATTTCTCTTACACTATGAAAATTATCTCTGAAGGATGAGAATGTGATGCAAAACTGAGAAAGAAATGAACTCTATTTATAACTGAGTTCTCCCTGAGAAAACCATATAAGCCAGTTGTAAACAACTAGCTCTTCCCTCAAATGTCAATATCGAATTTAGTGCTGACTTCCCCTTTCTCTCTTTCCTTTTTCGTTTCTTCTTTCCTTCAAAAGTTGTGATTGTCTTTGACTTATTAAGCAACGCTTACATGTATAAGAAACCTCGCTGAAAAAAAAAAAAGAGCGGTCGTAAAGAACGCAAATCGGGATTGCCAAGGAGCCGTTTACACTTTACCTGGATGTGAGAAAATCCAGAGAATGAAGCCACAGAGAAGCAAAACAAGGGGTATTATATGAATTGCGTTTTCTCCTATCAACTTGTGCATACCAATTTCCTTTTTGGTAGCTTCTGAGTTAGGATCATAGAGAGGCAAGTCATCGGAAGCCGCAGAGTTCATCGGTGAAGAGACAAAAAAAGTGGGTGAAAAGTTGACTAAGAAGTCGTCGGAAGCTCTTGAAGTGCTTGAAGACCTCTGCATTTTTTTTCAGGAGCGGGAGGAGAAAATGAGGAAAAGGGGTAGCAGTTAGCGAAGTTTCAACTAATCTTATACACAAAAATTGGTAGGCTTTTGAGGATTTAAAGAGCTTTAAGTCCCGGTGAAGCTAACCACTTTGCTTTTGAAGCCAAAAGTTGTGGTGAAAGGTTGCAAAATTGATCTACGATTACAAGTTGGTGATTGAATTTTACATTGTTTAATAGTTTGAATAGTCATACACGTTGGAATGCCTGCTTATTAGACTTGATAAAAGGCAGTTTCCACGGTAAATAAAGGCATGCATGTGCATGTGATGAAAGTCAAATGTCAAAGACGATATGTTTATTGTTATTATTTTCCTTTTAGAAGTTCATGAATATGAAAACTGCAGCAAGAAAGATGCCAAAAGAATGAGCCATTGGACCTTTCTTTTCACTAAAGGAGAAGCAATTGAGCTTGTTGATCTTTTTTCTTGCTAATTACCCAAAAAATTAAAAAAACGACTAAAACAAAGAGGAGGAAAAAAGTTAAATAATATCTGTCATGATTCCTTTTTCCAGAGATTAATCAAAATTCAGAGAGTTGCTGTAGTGTTGGAACCGGGACTTTGTTAGGTCCTGGTTGTCTGTCTTGTTTTTAGGGCCTTGGACCTTCGTGCAACGAGGGGAGAGAGAGAGAGAGAGGGAGAGAGTTACAACAACATGCTGCAAAGGAAAGGCAGTTTTGAAGTACAAAATACAATCGCGAAGCATTTCAGTTGCAAACTTTGGCCCAAAATTGTCGATTTGACTCGTGTATCTCATCATTTAAGAGAATCCAGTCAGCAAACAAAAGTACTGGTAAACTTTACCTTGCACAAAGACTGGAAATTAACATAATTAGTGTCTTGAGATGGTGTTGTTCATAACAAATGAAATTCGAAAAATCTCAGTGAAAAGAAGCTGATAGATTTTACCTTTGCCAAGGTCAAAAGCAAACTGTGCTAGCTTCTTTTTCACTCGATGTAGAACTTGTTACTGAAACGGGGAATCAGCTTGCCAGAAACTGGTTGTATTTCACAGCTGAAATCAACCTCCATAAGTCGATGATTCTCATTCGAGCGATTCATCGAAAAAGAAACACTTAAGTTGTCCCCTTCACTGACACGAATGGGAGGGTGCAAGAGGAAAACCTATTTGATAAACAAGAAGAACAACTAAAATAGGATGCTACAATTACAGCTGCAAGCGCACAGTCAATAGACAAAAAAGTTCGGAAGCCCTATATGCAAGGGAAGGACCAATTACTTGGCATACCAACATATGCCATGTTGAAGTTCCATTAAACAATTAGAATTGTTTGAAAGTATGCAAACGTTACATATGATGCTTTATTCGTCTTCAATTCCCTGTCTCTTCCATGATAAAATAAAGCCAGATAGAGAGATCTAACTGATAGTGCATATGTACCAACGCATCAGGTTTAGTATCAACTAATTGATTTGTTAGCTATCAAATTACGGCCTAAATTCAAGAAAAGGGTAATGTTAATGTTGCACAGATGACCTCAATTAGCTAAATAAAATGAAAATGGTGGTATAATTCATTACCTTGGCCGTATATGTTCTAAAAACCTGTTGTTTCTCATCATTTAAAAAAAAAAAAAAAAAAATGAATATGGTGACTTTACCTGTTGACCCCAATGTGTGCCATTGTCTACACTAGGAGCAGTAGTCAACTCTATTTCTTGCTGAGCCGGGTCCTCTTTTCTTCCCTGAAGCAACAGAGAAAAACGAGAGCTGGGTTGGAACTACCAAGAACATGCTTGAGAAACCAAAACAAAATGGAGTAGCTGAAGAATGAAGATCAACTTACTCTAAAATGAACATCAAACCATCCACCATACCCACAGAATCTTGTGTTCTCGAGAGTTATAGATGAACAAATATCTGCTCTAACTTCAAGAATGTCATTGACAGTGGCAGTTAAACAATCAATCTCCTTTAGAATGGCAGTGGACCCAATAACTTGATTTGGATGAAGATTGTTCCACAATGATGTCTACGGAAATTTTATACATGCACCATGCAACTTAAGCAAATAGAATACTTCGAAAGAAGACAGATTATTTGAGAAACTTTATTAGTAAATGACAATGCACAAGCCAACAAACATGGAACTTCAATTGCGTTTTAGTTCTAATTAGTAGCCTCGAATATTTATACACAGGTTCAACAATCATTAATTAGAAAAATAGGCATTTATCCAAACAGTAGATTTAATACTACTCCCAAGTGAAATAACATAAGTAAATACACTGAGTCACATTTCATGAACATAATCACCAGAATAATGTATATATATATATATATATATATATATTGTAAAGGAGCTGGATATTTTACTTCCATAAGATATGGTCACATGATGCCAACGTTGACCAACAGCATATAGCTTAGAACAACAAATTCATCCACGAAAACAATTTATTAAAAGAGAGAAAGAAATGAAACTCAAATGGCCACCAGAAAATTAGGAAACACCTGTAGATAGTATTTCTTCTGCTCTTCAGCGAAAGGTTTTGACAAAACACTCATATCAACACCATAATAAGTTTTTGTCTCGTCTACAAAGTCACACCAGTCATCCATAGTTGATTGATAATCACCCATTTTATGCTCCCCCACTCCTGACCGGATAGGTGCCACCCAGATACGAGCATGGCTAGGATACCTATGAAACAAAAGTTTGTTCAGTCAGCTCAGATCGATCCTAAATGCATCATTTCAAATAATGTGAAAACCATCCAGTAGCAAATTAACACCCATCGAAGGAGGTGCATGCACCATTTCAAAATCATCTAAAAACTATTCAATCACCAATTAATACCCACTGAACGGGCATAATACATTCATGTATCTATACGTGAAAGAAATTTCTAATCACCCATAAGGGCTGTCATAAAAATTATGGTGGCTGCATACCAAAAATCTATAAACACAGAAACAAATGCTCCATCACAGATCTAAGACAGCAATTCTAGAAATATAAGGAAATAGCTAAACATGTGAGCATCATATTGGTTGCATATACTCATATATGAATGCCCACTTGACAAAATTCCAAGAATATCTGGATGTTGAGTCCCCTAAGTTTAGCACAATGACACAAACACATGTACAGTAAACATAGAGTTTCTGTCTACTTGACACAGATGTTGTTGAACAAAATTACTATCCATTTCTACTTCAATTATGTGGCAGTCACAAGATTACTATCAATTACTACTTAAATTATGTGGAAGTCTGGAATGAGATCCTGACATGCTAAATAAAGTCATGAAACAATATGTCTGCAAAGACACCATAAGCACATATTTATTATTGTGGAGACTTGTTTACACATAAGATTAAAAGGTACTCCGTAATTACTTTGAGTATTAAAAAAAAAAATCCAATAACAAGATCTTATAAGTTTCTGCATTCAACAACACCAAGAAACCAAATTTGGAAGACAATTAGATGCAAAACAGGCTTACATTACTCCAGTTGGTTTCAACCAGCGGTCACGTGCACAAATCACCGAATCAAACATAGACTCACGGAGAAGAAAATATCCCATCCACTCAGAGATGATCACATCAACTGCACAAACGTTGGTCTAAATGTTCATAGCAAGAATAAACTCAAATTACACAACTTAACTAGATTAAGCAAACAAGGAGAAAACCTTTCTCGGGGAGGGTAATATCCTCGATGGAGCCCTCAATCACTTCAACCACATCTTGGAGGTTATTTGCTTTTACAAGCGCACGAGCATGTTCTGCCATCTTAGTTGCTTCCACGGCATAAACCTTCCTCGCACCAGCTTGCGCCGACCATATTGCAAGAATGCCACTCCCAGTCCCCACATCCAACACAACCTTCACCACAAGCACATTAAATGGCCATTTTCCAGGATAGTCAGAATGTGCTAATACTTCACAATACACTAACAAAGCTGAATGGCCTCTTAAAAGTTTCTCCCAAAACTTCAAACTCAGTACAAAATCATACTCATAAAGTCATAATGTATATGATATATGCAAATCCCTCAAAAGGATTAGGTGCTTCCTCTCCACTAAAACAATATGATTGAACCGTAGCTCAGCTGCAAAAAATAGCCATTTCCATGATAACCAAATTTCATAACGAATTATTACTGGCAGTAACTACAACAACCACCACAGATTTTCTGTCAAAAAACCAAACTCATTACGAAATCATACTCTTAAGGAACAATTTTTTTTTTCCTTTTCAATTCACTCGGCTAAAAGCGAATAAAGTTCAAACAGAGCTCAGTGTAAAAAGGTATCAATATTTTCATTCGACAAAAATAATAAACATCCGAAACCTAAGAAAATGAACTCATCTCCGTTCTGGTGCATATACAAGTTAAAAAAAAAAAGCTACAAGAAAATATATACACACACTCGCATATATATATATATAGATATATATACATATATATTAACATACCTTTCCTGTGAAATGCTGTTTGTTTACGAAGATGGCGTTGAAGTAGGCGTCCATGCGAACGCGATCGCAGAGCATCTCCTTCTGGTGGTAGAGGAAGCCGTAGGTGCAGAAGTACTGCGCGAAATCCACCCCCTTGTCCACGACGGCGCCGCCGCCGCCGCCATTTCTGCTGCTGTTCACGAAGCTCCCCATCAATTCAATCTTAGAGAGAGAGTTAGGGCAGAAATCGCCGTTCGCTATTGTTAGCTATGGTTGCCCTGCGTTTGCTAGGTCTCGTCGAACTTGTACAGTTGTACTCTGACAAACAAAAAGGTTTCCTTTCACCGCGCTTTTTTTTTTTTTTTTACGAAAAATGCATAATTATGACTTTTGGGCTTCCGGCTTCTTCTAGGAGTTCAGAAAGGGGCCTGGGTTGCCCAGTTAAGATTGTTAACAAGCTGGATTGGGCCACTGCTTGTCAAGTCTAAAGGGCCATTTACAATGAAATTTAGACAATGGGTGCGTTTGATAATGCTTATTACAGCCCAAAATCATAAATAATAGTGTTTGATAAAAATCATAAAAAATAATTTTTAAAAAAGCTACTTTTAAAATTAGAAGTAGTCCAAAAATATTTTTAAATTATACAAAAATTAACATAATATAATTATTAATTATTAATAAATTATATTAAATAAATAATTATTAATTACTAATTATATTATATATTAATTAGTAGTTAATAAATAAATATGCTTAATAATGAATAAATAGATAAGAATTACTAGGTCTCGTCGAACTTGTACTCTGACAAACAAAAAAGTTTCCTTTCATGGCGCTTTTTTTTTTACGAAAATTGCATAATTATGACTTTTGGGCTTCCAGCTTCTTCTAGGAGTTCAGAAAAGGGCCTAGGTTGCCCGATTAAGATTGATAACAAGCTAGATTGGGCCACTGCTTGTCAAGTCTAAAAGGCATTTAAGATTCGTTTGATATGAGGGTTTAAATCAAAGTGATTTTAATTTTAATTTTAAAATCAGAATTATGATTCATGATTTTAGGTCTAAATCATGATTTTGAAATCAGAACTAAAATTAGGAGTTTGAACCACCCAAAACCAAGGGGGGTGGTTTTAGAGTCAGGGGTGATTTATAGTTTAAAACATTACGTCAGAGTTCAAACTTTGAATCAGAACTATCTTAACTAAACATTGATTCTGGGTGAGTCGAATCAGAACCACTTTTTATTTTTTGTAAACAAACACTAGTTCTGAACCAGAATCATGGTTTTGGGTTCAGAACCCTTACACCAAACAACACCTTAGACAATATTGCTTTGGTATTCTATTCTACCACTTTTGTAGAAGAGTTTAAAACATCACTTTCCAAGAATAGAAAGACAATTTGCTCCAGACAATTAGATATAATTTATCTTAGTGTTTTCATAAATTTAATTGCTTCAGCGGGTATTTTGAATCTAATTTTATAGATGGTGAGTGTTTTAGGTATTTGTATAAAAAGAGAGACAAAATTGATATCTAGACAAAACACAGGGGTATTTAGTGTAGGGTTGTACATCAGTCGGTGCCCATTTAGCTAATGGTTGGAGTGGAGAAAAATTAAAAAAAAATCATTAGTTATTTTGATTAAAAACATGAAGTAATTAATATAATTGGAGTTACTCTAAGTTTATAAGTCGTGAATAAACAAAAATGTCAAAGAGTTAAAAGGAAAAAAAAATGCCAATGAGCTGCTATTAAGTAAAAAAAATGGAACTTAGCTATCAGCTTCGATCATAACCTCAGAAAAATAAAATTTCGGAATCATAAATTTTTAATGGAAATAAATTGGAAGTTTATTTTATAGACTGGAAGCTTTAACCTTAACTAACTCAAAGTAACTATCTAATCTTGGTGTACTTGCTATCATATAAAATGCCCTATTGGTTCCGAACGACCCACAAAAAGTAGTGCCGAATATTGTATGAAGTGAAGCCTTATAGTTTGGTAAAGAAATTTCACGATTATGATGGGAAATATAATCTACCAAACAATGTAACTGAATTTTAAAATGTCCTCTAATTGGCTTAGTTACATATTCTTTAGAGTGAATATCCCCAAAGCGAACTCAATCCTCATTGCCCATATGATTGAAAATTGACCACAAAATCCCACCATTAGGACCAACAACAGACATGCTTAAACTTTGTACTTCATTTTTGTACAATTTTCAAAACTTCGATTTATGTGATATCAACATCAATTTGACCAACTTTGGCTGCAAATCTACTCGTATTATTCAAGCATCAAAATTAGAGAATTGTATGATAGGCTATTGATTATCCAACGATACAACATAATATCGAAGTGTCAACTTATTATTAATTTATATTAAACTGTTATATTTGTTAAATCTAATGTAATCTTGATTTGATAATTTAGAATGGAAAAATACTATCTTAAAAAAAGAATGATAAAATACTCAAAAATTTCCCTTATATTTTGTTTACATACCATTTTTGTCCTTCTCATTATTCGAATGCTCAAAATACCACTTGTAATTATAAAATTATATTCAAAACACCCTTTGTGTTTATAAATTAATCTGAAAATATCTTTTGAAGCAATTGAATTTCTAAAAATATAGAGACAGTCTTGTTTTTTTCACAACTCAAGTCATAACTCAAATTTTATTGTTACAGTCTTTTCTCTCACAAACATTCAAATTTAACTTTTTTGCTACAATGTTTTTCTCTCATATACAAACTCAAATTAAGAACTTGAGTTGTGAAACAAACATAACTCTCTACCTATATCAAATACAATTTAAAACATTATTAACCAAAATATTAAATAAAATCAATCTTTGAAAATTGAAAAAATTCTCAAAATAATTGAAATGGTTATTTGAACATTTTAAAATTTAATTTAGGGTAATTGACATAGATAATCCCTAACCTCTTTAGTAGGTGACAGTTTAGTCCTTATTTTTTTACATTTGGCAAAATGGTCCTCAACGTCATTAAATTGGTGTAATTAAATCCTTTATGTCTAACTCTTTCAAATTTTAAACGGTTTTATACAGGTGACCTTCATACTTGTCACTTTTATTGTAAAGTTACTAAATATCCCCTTGTCATGCACAATTTAAGGAAATTAAGTTTTAAGGAAAGCAAGGTGGATTTCACAATATCATAACAAACAAGTTTCAAAATCAACTTTTGGCATCACATTAGGATTCCCCATAGAAAAATCCATATTGTAGCATACATAAACAAAACAGGTAACTGAATATAGACATCAAGCACAGTCTAGGGGTATTAAGGGTTACAAACCGTAATTTATACATGCCTTAGAAGTATGCGACAAGAAAGGAAGTAAATTACAACTTCTTCGCTTGAATGAGACAAACTGGAGCTGCCGGCAGTCGCTATCTACTCGGCACTACTTCTAGCATCACCTGGGAAGGGTTTAAAACATTAAAAACATGATAAATAATGAGCGAAAGACTCAGTAGGATATAATATCATAAATCTTTATTAATTAAAAGAGTACACAGTCCGAACATATTATTCGAAACAAACATCAATTTATTGAAAAGAATAGTCCATATTTTCAAGTTTCATGTTCCAGTAAGTAATTTATAAGAGTATGATGAATCACTTACCTTATTGTAAAGCCATAATATCAATACCGAAGTGATCCATACGGGTTTCAGGACATGCCCCTAAGGATATGATCTGCATACCCCGATCTTTAGGCCATCATGCGTTTTACCATTTTTTAAAATATATCATTTCAAGAAAATATCACTTTAAATTCTTCTTTAAAACTTAATAATATCAAACATGCTTTGTCTTTTAAAACATTTTCATATGCCAAATACATTTTAAACAAAGCTAATAAAGATATGGACAAGAATATTCTACCTCTTAGATATCAATTCTACGGTTCAGATATGGACAAGAATATCCTACCTCTTAGATATCAATTCTACGATTCACTTCTTGTCGTCCTAGCCTCACTTATCTTTGAAGCTCAATATTTAATCCCGCCACTAGCTTCGCCATTAAAAGAAAGTTTTAGAGTTTAGACCTCACCTCTAAAACAAATCTACCTTAATTATGTACTATTATATCATATTAATGTGCATCGACTCAAAATCAAAGTTTATAAATAACTTCATAATCAAAATTGTAAATCAACTCACTATTTTTTTTAAATATCAGATAGGAGAAAAAAGAAAATAAAAAATATAAATTAAGGTCTTCTTCTTCCCTATGTGAGCAAACCCAGAAAAAGTGCTCAAGATAAACTTGAGGCACATCAATCCACCGTCATTACCAAAAAAATGGTTAATGATTTTTCAGGATCGTTTCAAATAAAATTAATTTTGTGGAGAGAATAATCAAATGCCCTTGTGTATTTTAGAATTGAAAATATTTCAAGCCAAAAACCAATTATGTCACCGGAACTCGCCAACCCATTGATGAAAATCGCCACACAACCCGGTCTCCGTTCCCACAGCCGGCGCGAAACTTTAACCTCTACCATCACTGCCGTCGCGAAAGGCGGCTACCAAACCCACTGGCATCGCGAAACAGCCTCCTTCCCTCTGCTTCTTGAAAGGCCAACTTGGGCATCCTCTCCCCGGATTTGCAGAGACAGCAAAATCCACAAATGCCAAAGTTCTCAACGAAATCCAGAATCACAAAAACAAAAGCCGAAATCAAAAAAAGCCAAACTTGCAACCATAATTTCGAGGAAACCCATAAATCAAATACTTACGTTGATGCTTCAGAATATCACAGACCCTGTTCCTTAATCAATCCCAAATCAAGAGAGAGAGAGAAAGGGAGAGGAATGAAAGAGAATAAGTGAAGTATAAGCAACTTTAAATTATTTTTAATAAAATAATTTTGTTAATCGAGTCCAATCAGGTGATAGTACCATGTGCAAGACAAAATACCCTTGCCTTGGTATTTTATCAAAATATCCTCATCTATAAGATTATATGTCTTGTACGTGATTAATTCTGTTAAAAATTTAATATAATTAGATAAAAATGACTTAATTATATTAATTTAACGACGTTAGAGATTATTTTATTAAAATTAAAAAATAAAAATTAAACTATCACTTACTAAAGAAATTAAGGACCATTACCTTTTAATTTATTTTGTAAGTCATATTTAAGATAAATTTTAATTGAAATGGTTATTTGAACATTTTAAAATTTATTTATTTTGTAAGTCATATTTAGAATAAATTTTATTATAGATTGAGAGGGTAATTTTTGGTATTTTTTAAAAATTAATTGTTTCAAATGGATTTTGTGACTCATTTTAAAACACAATGTGCTTTTTAGGTATTTACACTCTAAGATGAGTAAAATACAGAATATGTTTTGGGTACTTTTATTTAAAATTGTGTTATATGATATATCCATTTTGATAAATTGATAAATACAAGGGGAAAAAAGAAAAGGAAAGAGAGAGCCTCACTTTATCTTATTGGAAAAGAGATAATACTTATTAGAGTGCATACATCTTTATTTTTACTATTTATTTTTAATTAATATCATTTTTAGTTAAATAATTAAAATAATTATCTTATTAATTAAGAATAAAAAATAAAAATTTATGCATCTTAAAAATAAGTTCAATAATATTTTATGTTTTTTTTTTAATTTTATTTTTTATCTAGGTCCAATATTTTCTGCAAAACTGCGACCATTTGAGACTTTGAGAAGACAGAATACCCAGAAAAGGACTTTTGAAGAAAAAAAAGAAGATGTCATCAGTTGGCTTTTTCTTTTTTTTTTTTGGCCTTTTGTGGGGCTGTATAATATGACCTTAATAACCGGACGAAAATTCCCTCCAGGAGGGCACTTGTCTAGTGTGTATAACTACTTCATGTTCTTGAGCGAAAAATTAAAAAAAAAAATAACTTGAGTTATAATTTTATTTGAGTTTATATTTTTTAAGTTTAAATTTGAGTTTAAATTTAAGTTGAAGATTAAAATTTGAGTTCAAATTTCTCCTTCAACTCGAGTTTAGAAACTCGAACTCAAATTAATGAACAATATTTTTTTTATTCTTAAAAATGTTATAATTTTTTCATTTTAATTCTGATGGAGATGATTTTTTTATGCGTTGACAATGAAAAGACGAATAAAACCCGACTCATATACCCTATTAAAATTTTTTATCAGCATTGAGTTTTTATTAAAATACTATCTAAATACAAATTCAAGTTTTGACTCACTCAAATATAAACTCAAAAATATTTTTATCTCAAATCATAACTCAAATGTGCACAACTAAATACAAACTCAAATTACAAGTTCAACTCAAGTTATAACTCAAATTCAACTTAAGAATTATATTCAAGTTAAACTTTAAAAGAACAAGTCTTAAGTGTTCGGTAGTTTTCCACCGCCGGAAGGTCATCGAAATGCTCTTGATCAGCATCCAATAGCATCCAACAGTTGGCTTAGAGGGAGTGGTTACTTGGATTCTTCCTTAACAGTTCTTAGCGGCGGAATTACTTTTGATCTTAATATAAGAGACTGAAAGGAATTATTATTATTTAATAGACGCCTCCATAACGGCATGTTTGCTTTTATTTTTCCTGGGCTTGAAAGTGTTAACAGCTGAGCTCAAGTTGAGGTTGAGGCAGATTTTTTATTTTATTTTTTTGCTTTACCAAAAATAAAAAATAAAAAAGACCCATTTAATTTATTATTATTACTTTTTCCTCAACGAAAGACCATCTTTCTCTTATCCCTCTTTTTTTTCTTTTTTTTTTCTTTTTATTGGTGTGCAAATGACCCACATTTGTTACTCATATAGTGACCAATATATTTTAAAGTTTGTTTTTGTCCTTAAAAGGAACCTATTTTACCTTATAACGTATGAAAAAAAATAGAGGATAAAGTAAATATAATACTGTAACTCATGTTAATATCTGTTTTTATTACGTATCATAAAATTATTGTTACGTAAAATGATACCATATTATACTTATTTTTTTACATGTGATATAAAGTAGGATCAATGAATTTCTATATCTTTTTTTTATTTCAAATATATATTTTATTTTATTCAATGAATTTTCTTTTCATAAGAATATTTTATACTAGAATTTGTTTTTTTAATTACCAATAAGTTTTTAAAATCTGATGTGTGATACTGATTGGTGCAATTACCATACGAAATTTTTATCATTAATCCTCATAAAATTAGACCGTTAAAATTTTAATTTTAGCCGAGCCAAATAAAATATCTATCTCAAGCCACTTGACATGGATTCTATTGAGACAGACAGTGTGACAGATCCACTTTGTAATACTATCTTTGTCTCAAAATCAAAAAGTAACTACTATAATAATAAACTAAACTAAACTCTTGAAAATTATTCCAAATCTTAAAACCCCCCCATTCTCTCTCTAAAACCCAATTCACACGCTCCAAACTTGAAAGCTTCTACTCCACTTCTACTGTCTTTTTCCCTTCTCTCTCCTCTCTCTCTCTCTCTCTCCCCTCACAAAAAAGGCACCACTCATCTTCCATTTCCTCAAAGAATCTCTTTTTTTTTTTTTTTTTTCCCTCTGAAGAAGAAGATTGACAGATTATTATCATTACAGAAAGAAAAATGAGGGGTCCTTTGGGGGCAGTCATAGGAAGATACCCATCAAGTGATGGAAGTGCCCAAATGGGCGGAAATGGAATCATTAGACACAACAGGAAATGCAGAGATGTTGTGTTTCTTGTGATCTTCAGTGCCTTCTGGGTTGCCATGATTGTTAACTCCAGCTTTGGATTCAACAAAGGAAACCCATTAAGGTAAAACAACAAAATAAAAAATAAATCTAATATCTTCCAACACTTTACTTTTGTTATGTTTTTGTGTGATTTTTTTATGGTCAGAATCAGTTTTCCTTAACTGGGTTTCTTCTGTTTTAGCTCGTGTGTCTGTGGAATTTGTTTACTTTACTTGCCTGTTGGTAGAACAAACAGTAACTGTGTGTTTTATTTTAGTATATTGATTTTTGAGAATATATTGGCGTTTTTTTCTCCGTCAATTTCGGTTTAGGTTTTTTTTTTTTTTTTTTTTTTTTTTTTTTTTTTTTTTTTTTTTTTTTTTTTTTTTTTCCCCTTTTTTTTTGTTGCAATGTTATGTATGTTTCCCAGTTTTTCTGGTTGAATCATTTGTTTGCTGGAGAGGAGATCTAGAGAAAACGAAATATTGGGTTTTATAGCTTTTGTGATTTTATTACTGGGAAAAGAAAATTTCGCTTATTCACTTGAAATGGACTTGATAATGACTGCGCCTTACTTTGCTCCCTTTAAAAAAAAAAAAACTTGAATATTACCTCCACCATGTCCAAGGAGTTGTTTTATGCATTGTGAATTTTAGTTTCTTTTCTCTCCGGTGTGGAAGGTTTTGGCTAGAAAAGAATTGAATTAATAACTCAGCTAAATTTTGATATATTTATCTTTAGTTTGTGAATGTGACTTTTGTTAAATTGGGGGTGAAATATTTTGGAAGTGTAATATTTCATAAAATTGAGGTCAAAGTTAAGTTCTAGTCAGGCAAGTTAGTGAAGAAGGTACACGATTACAAGCTCCTTACGAGACTTCAAAACAGTTCTTGTGGTAAAACACCAAAACACTTCAAAAATCTTTATCTTGTTGTTGCATATGGACTACTTTATCGTGTTAGATTATGTAAACTTATAAGTATACATCTTTTTCCAGTTTTTTCTCTGACTCTATGCAAGTGTGTCTATGTTATTATTATTATTAGTTTCGACGCTGTGCTTTCTCTTGCTACAAGACAGTTACATTTTTTTTTTGGTGGATGAACTCCCCCCCCCCCCCCCCCCCCCCCCC